AAAAAGATCAATGCAAAAAATGTTTGGCATACAAGGGTATGTCTGAAGAAGAGAAAAAAGCAGAAGAAGAAGCTTATCAAAAACATCTGAATAGAAAAAACAAAGCTAGGCAAGCCCGCGATGAAGACAAGTTAATCGAAAGAGAATCCTAAGGTTTTGGCATTTAATTTCGATTTACAGGCGGTCTTAACAACGCCAAAAGGTTTCGCGGGACAAATATTTTATTTGAGAAAACTGGCTGTGTTTAATTTCACCATTTACAATTTAGGCAACCAAAATGTTATGTGCTACCTTTGGGACGAAACAAAGGGAAAAAGAGGGGCAAATGAAATTTCATCCTGTGTATATGATTTCATTATGAGCCATTCTGAGATAGAAGAGGTCCGTATGATGTCTGACGGCTGTGGAGGACAGCAAAAAATTCAATATTTGCAACCATGTGCATCCATCTGCTTGTGGAACATCCATCATTAAAAGTAATTAATCATCGGTTTTTCGAAACAGGGCACACTGAGATGGAGTGCGACTCCATCCATTCAAAGATAGAAAAAAAAACAAAATTTGTACCCGTTTATACCCCAGAGGGATGGGCGCAACTTATAAGAGATGCACGTGTTACTCCACGTCCTTTTGCTGTAAAGTCTTTGACGTTTGATGACTTCTTTGATTTTAAAAAGTTTTCAAATAATAATTACATCAATTTCAATAACATTCCCTGGAGAAAGATTTGCTCTCTTCGATACGTTAAAGAGAATAGTTCCATAAAAGTTTTTTACAAAATAGACTATACCGATGTTTTTATTGAAGTAGACTGCAAAAAAACTCGAGGACGTCCAAAACAAGCGGACTTAAAAAAGGCCTATCAAAATGACTTGCCCATCAGCGAGGCAAAGTGGAAAGATCTCGACAAAATGTGTAAGGATTTAACAATCCCAAAAGCGTATCACGATTTTTACCATTCCTTAAAAACAAACCACAATGTGAGGGACAATTTACCGGAACCCCATATTAGTGAAGGGTCCGATACTGATGAAGATTAAACCTTATTTAAGATTTTTCTGTATCAAAGTTTGTTGTTTTTAGTTGTTTATTCCAATAATGATGAATATCTAACGTTCTTTTATTTTTTTGCAGAGAAATTTGTTGTTTTCTTTTTTTAATCAATTTAGGTTTTTTTCTAAAGGAGTTTGATGTTTGGCTATTTTGTTTTTTAAAATGTTAAGTTACATTCTAAATAAAAATATGGTTAGTTTTTCTAATATTTTGGTTTTATTTGTTTTAACGAAACATAATATATCTAAAACTTTGCAACGCCAAAACAACGAATGTACATTTTTTTTGAAAAAAATTACAAAAACTTAAAAATTTCAACCGACATTATTTAATGTTTTACAAAAAGTAACCTTTCAATAATGATTAAGTACCACAGAATAAAAACTCTATTTTTAGCTGTGTCTTCGTGACTTCGGCATTGGACCGACGATATGTGTTATAGGTAATATTTCAGTTCAACAAAATACCCATTAAGTTATTAGATACATAATTATTCATTAGATAATTACAGTAAATGATAAATAAAGGCCTAAAATAAAATAACACTATTGGTATGTGATTTTAGGGAAGCATGGAGAGGTCGAACTTATCACATATTTATGGGCCCTTCTTTGACAAGAAACAAAATCCACAATATACTAAGGACGTAACAAACTTCTGGGTAATAATATACTTAATCGAACTAAAAATACATTTTAAAAATATTGTATTTTAGATTTCCTTTGTACCTGAAAACATTCTAAGAATTTTAGAAGCAAAATAAATAGTACAGACTTGTCTAAAGAACATCTGAAATTTTATAAAAAGTGAATCTACATGGTACGTCTATATTGAAAAAAAAAAAACATCATATTCAAGCAAGTGCCAAACTAGAAGAAAATTTGAGAAAAATCACAGACAATGCCCTCGAGCATACATCAGAATATCTTGCTAAAAAATATGAGTTGTTTTTTTATAAAATCTTCATACTAACTTGGAAATCCATAATTAAGCATAAAATTTGTGAAATTAAAAAAAAATCAATGCACTAACATTGGAGGTTTTATTTAAAACAACAAAGTAAGACAAAATTATCTAAACATAAGTGCAACGATTTAAACTTGAGCATATTTTCTTAATTTCTATATAATTTCCTTCAATAATGGTTAAACAAGTAGGTCAATCTCTTTTTTATTCAATATGTTGTGGAAAAGTAAAATCTATATATAAAAATATAATTTATCCTCTTCTAATAAATTGTCATATACTTATGTTATATTATAGCATAAATAAAAATATTTCCAAGCCACATGTACTTAGAATAAAATAATTTTTGTTCACCTTTGCATAAATAATAAGCTAACAAAATAAAAATATATAAATATCTATACAAAAAAAAAGTTAAAAGGTTTGATTTTAAAAAGATGATATATCTCTGCGAGTACAGGTAAGCAATCTGGAACCTCAGCTACCTCTTATGATATATACCTAAGTCATTGTTGCAATCATCTATTATTCACAGATCTAGTTTTTTTAGCATCATACAATTGCTATCTTGAAACGTACCTTATATAAATATACTTTTGTACAATCGTTCACTGTTTAAGCTTCTAGTGAACCTTTGCAATATTGATACCTTATTGTACTATTAAGCAAATTTTGTCCAATCGTTCAGTGCTTTATAGGTGGCTTCTACTATCATCTACTTTTGTGATATTACTACTTGATTTCAAGAACACTTTAATAATATATTTATATAAATATTTTGTTTTATTTGAAATTTCCATGTCTCGATTGAGTTTTTACTATACCTCAATTTCAGCCTCTCTATATTACATTACACAAAGAACAATATAGTGTGTCCGTGGATGGACTTAATTATACTTGTAAAAATATTTATTTTAAATTAAAAAAAGTTAATTTTCATAATTTCTTAATGTGAATCGAATTTATTTAACAAGTAAAAGAAATTATGAAGAATTACTTTTTTAATTTAAAATAAATATTTTCACAAGTATAGTTAAGTCCATCCGCTGTAGAACTAATTCACATTAGAACATCTGTAGAAAGTTTCAGAGCAACTTTCAGGGTAAGTACCGTAAAAGTGCTAGTGTGATGTTTTCCGAACTTCACTTTTATAACTTCTGTGAGATGTGCTATAAAAGTCTTGCCGTTGCGGACATTCGGTGGTTGCAAGGATATTAGGGTTACATTAAAAGTACATCGCATGTGAGCTTAAAGAGCCTTAAATTGCAGCTTATTAACGTAGATGGGATGTTTTTGTGCTAGTTGGGTTATAAAGTTTATTGCACACTATAATCGGTTAGTATTTCATTATTTTTTTTATAATTAGTTATGATTTTATCTTTAATAAGATACGCCACTGGTATCAACAGACTTTTAGTCGCGTACAATAATAGCGTTGCAAGACGACATTTTCGATTACAGTCTGTCTTCATTCGATCCGCATAAAATATCTTCTTTCTCTTTTCCGATGATTGGGACCAAACAAAACATACTTTATGAATGAAATACATCATCTGTTGTTTCTTTTATCCAAGGGTAAAATAGATATTTGTGTACCAAGGCTGTGTTTTGGCCACATACTTTGATTTTCTTTTACTATACGGAGAATGGTCGCACTGCGCAGCTTTCTGAGTGCCTTTTAAAAGGAGATAGAAAACTCCGCCATTTTGAACCCTTATTACGTGTTGCCTACATCTTGGCGCAATATTTTTAATAGGTGCGTTTTAATCATCCGCTTCTGCTTCGGAATTGTCGGTTTTCTTGTTTTAATCTGACAGGTTAGAACGACTGAACCGACAATTCCGGAAGCACAAGCGGATGATTAAAACGCACCTGATATTTTGCTTGCTGCTGTCAGTGTCATTGAATATTATTTTTGGAGTCACAGTTTATTGCTAAAGAATCAGTTAGCTCACTCGGACCAGTTGAAAGTTCCAAAATAACATCCACTCCAGGGATGCAAATTCAGGATACGCAGAAGACTGCTATTTTATTATAGGCGGTTGTTATATATTGTATTATCTGAGTTGCGCAGTGTATAAAACTGGAATATTGAGATAAAAAGTGTCGACGCAGAGTGAGCGATCTGATTCTTTAGTTATAAACTGTGTCATAGGGTTCAAAATGGCCGCGCCCTATGTTGGGCGTGTCGGACCTCTCTCTTGCCCCGTATAGTAATCAAAGTATGTGGTTTTGGCCGAATTAGACATATGGGTCCGAGTCTAAGCGAGTTCTGGTCATAGTTCTGGTTATGTATAAGAGTAATAGACAAGAAACGGATGTTCAATCAAACTTGACATCGAGATAGATGCCACATAAGCAGGTGTACTGAAGATGAACTTTGCAGTACCCAACATCAGATAGGTAAAACACTTGATATTCTGAAAACCATGCATACTACAATGAATAAGAACGAATGGAAGTGTCAGAAGGAGGCTAAAGGCAAAAAATAGACGGAATAGAGCTGAATAGATAGATAAGTAATATTTTATGCAGGAGAGAGTCGATGAATGTTATAAATATAGTAAATTTATGAATGTATTTTTATTGTATAATTTCAGTTTATTTTAATTTTTGGTATAAAACTATGGCTGACATAATATAAAACTCTTCGCTCACGTAACCGTAATCTCTACACAGGAAGTAGCACAACCGGACGAGAGAAAATAAATGGATGCTTTCAGCAATTATCTGTAGCTGCTCTGTTGGCTCGGATACTTGTCTTGTATTTGTCTAGAAAACCTGTTTTATTAGGCCGAAAATAACTGCAGCTCCAGCTAGTCCTTTATTTTTTTTTTATATACAAATAAAATAGTACTGAAGTTTGCTTGATATAACACGTATTATGTATTATTTTGATATAACAGGTAATAATATAATTAGTCAAAATTAAAACGTTTATTAAACAGTGAGAAGCATAAAAATCACTTCAAATATCATATTTACAACACTGGGTATACAGCAAATGTAGCAATTCCACATTGATTATTCTTATTTCTTGACATGAAAACGTAACCTTCTTGGCCCCATGTTAAACCCCAAGAATTTTTTACTATCCAGTAGTCAGTACCATTAAGAGTACCATATCCAACAACCAATACAGCATGGTCTAAATGCCTGTCGTCTGATGTACAAGTTGGATCATTTAAAATTCCTAAAAATATATTAAGTATAACTAATAGGAAGATAATATGTTTTATCAGCTCATTCTTATTAAAATATTTTTTTATTGTAAAAGCATAATATTGTAGCACACAATCAGTATTGCATTTTCTCATGATCAATTTAGAAGTTGTCAAGAGATGATCTGTGATTGTCAATGCTTTTTGTGGTAGTTTTCTGTTAGTATTGTATTCCGACAGTTTTCAGTTGAATTATTATCAAAATATTTTTCATTTCCGTTTTATTAAACAAAATACAACATGCAGCATAATTTTGAAATTTCTAAGTGTGTAGGAAGAAATAGCCAAATTGTCTTTTGTTTCCCTAAAGATGTTCAAAGGTATTCATATTTATATGTGTTAATGTAGAAAAGTTCTACAAGTTATTCACTATCCTCAACTCATCAAATACCAGCAGCCTCAAAAAATACAACCGTGCACAAAATATGAATTGCCAAAATGTGTCTAGAAGATTGTGTTAAATTTTTAAAAAACAGTAAAATAATAATCGACAATAAACAACGGATATTGCAAAACATGGAACATTTAATTAAAAAATGCCTAACAGAGCATTCTTGTGAGACATGTGAAAGTTATTTCAAAAGTGTCATTGATTTAGACCAGTGCTCCGCAACCTTTCCTCATCTGAGGCACACCAAACTGCTCCCTAGAATTTCGTAGCACACCAAAATCTAAAATATATTTATAGCAGTGGCGTAGCTAGGTCGGGGGTCAGTTCACTCCATGTATACTAATTATTTATGGATGTCCAAACTACCTTAGTTTTTTTTATTGTTTTAAAATGTGAAGAAGCCCCTTTCAGATTTGGGGCATCAAAATTTTCACTCAGGACATAATACATATTTTTTTTTTATTTTTTTTTTATTATTCAGATAGAATGAAAAATACAAATAGGTACATACATGAGAACTATACTAAATACTAGGTAGGACAGGTAGGTATACTAAATTTACTTCTGTTGACACGTCAATAGTAATAAATATTTTGACATGATGATGACTGATTAATGTGATACCTGCGCTTGCTTCGTTGAACACAAAAGTTTTATATTCGGCTCAATTTTAGACAGCGCAACTCTCATTTCTTGGTCAAGATCTTTTAAGCATGACCGTTTATCATTTTTAATTAATACAAGCGTTGAAAAACTTTGCTCACATAAATATGTTGTGGAAAACGGAAGTAGTGTGAAGATGGCCTTGTCGGTGATGCGTGGATATTCTGTCTTGATGGAAATCCAGAAAACATCTAACGGAACTTCGTCGAATTTAAGTTTTAGGGTCATATCATTACTTAATTCTGTGAACTCCTCTCGAGTTTGCAATGACAGTGCTTCCGTGGAACTTATTGCATTGGTTGCGAAAGGATTTCGAATCCAATTGTATTGTTCCGTGTTGATAGAATGGAAATAGTATTCAAATTTTTGTTGAAGCATACTTAAATGTTGTTGGGCCAAATCCACAATCAACTGCTTGTTTTCGATCGTACTGTGGTTGGTCCTGTGATACATTTCTAGACATCCTTTTTGCAACTGTTCCTGCCAAAGTTCAAGTTTCTTTTTGAACCCTTGTAATTTATCGGAGCACGTCAATATATTTTCATTCCGTCCTTGCATTTTTTTATTAAGTTCATTCAGATGTTCGAATATATCCGCCATGTATGCAAGTTTGGCTATCCAGTATTCATCATGAAGGTGCTGGCATAGATCGTACATATCTTGACTTGAAAGAAACTCACGCACTTCGTAGCGAAGTTCAAACAGTCGAGCTAAAACTTTTCCCCGGGATAACCAACGAACTTCTGTATAAAACAGTAAGGATTCATGTTCGCTTCCCATTTCTTCACAGAGTATTCCAAAGATTCGCGAATTTAAGGCTCTCGATTTAATTATGTTTATGATCTTAATACATTTATTCATTGTGATCGAAAGCTGTTCGGGCAAATTTTTGACCATCAATGCTTCTCGATGTATGCAGCAATGTGTAATTTGTATTGACGGATTTTTTTGTTTTACACAAGATACAAAACCTTTCTTACTGCCCATCATTGCAGCAGCACCATCTGTACAAATAGCAACGCAATTGGTCCACTGAATATTATGTATTTTAAAAAAATTATCAGTTACTTGGAAAATTTGTTCACCGGTAGTTCTCTCTGGAACCTCCTTACAAAATAAATAATGTTCTTTAATAGAGTCCTCGTCAACGAAACGTACAATAGCCATCAGTTGTGCTTTATTTTTAATATCGGTTGATTCGTCGATTTGAAGCGCAAAAATTCCAGCCGAAATGATTTTTTTAATTAGTGTTCCCAAAATATCACTTGACATATCTTGGATACGTCTTTTAACAGTATCGGCCGACAAAGAAACTTTACTCACGTCCTTAACTTCGTTTGGCCCAAGCATAAGTCTAACAATTTCCATGCATGCTGGTTTAATAAGCGTTTCACCGATAGTGTGCGGTTTTTTTTGTTGTGCAATTAATTTTGCAACAAGGTAGCTTGCTTCTAATGCCTTTTCAGAAACCGTAACCGCCGATTTCATAAACTGCTTTTGTTTCTTATTTTGATCCAAGCGCCGTTGGAAAAATTGAATGTCTTTTTTGACGCAACTGGGATGATTTGTGATCAAATGACGGTTTAGTTTGCTGGGTACCATTGCTTCATTTGACAACTGTTCACCGCAAATGACGCATTCAGGCTTTGGAGCCGCTTCGTCGCCACACCAAGTGAAACCATATCGAAGGTAGTCTTGATTGTACTTCCTTTTCAGCACCTTTTTTGCTCTTTTTGCAGCACTTATGCTGGAGCTTGTGCTAGGTTCTTCGTCATCTGCTCGTGATTTCAGCAAAAATTTATCCATATTTGAAGCACTATAGTTATTTATAAAAGTAGATACTGCAACAAAACTTAGTCCAGTTCACTTATTTATAAGGCACAAGAATTTATTTATATAGCAATTCACTATTTATTTCACTCTACGATTTATTTGTTTGCCCGCGTATTTATCTGATTCACTTGACTATTCGACTCTCTCTGAGTCTCTGAGCGACGACAGGCGCGCTTATATAGGCAGTGGCGATGTTCAGGAAAACATCGAGTCGCGCCTCGAACGGCACGGATCTTTCTAGTTTAGTCGCCTTCGAGAATCAAGCCGCCGCGCCGATAGACGGATAGACGTTTACCATCGGCGCTGTTGTCAGATTGCTTTATTTTTCACGGGTCTCGCTACAATACGAATCTGATTCGTATTGTCTGCAAGAGCGGCACACCTCAAGTCGGCTTACGGCACACCAGTGTGCCGCGGCACACCGGTTGCGGAGCACTGATTTAGACGATTCTTCATTGTATTTATGTTTAAGAGCTTACGATATCACCTTCAACACTTTAGGAAACTCTAAAATGTCACACAATATGTTTACGTGTTTTTATTCTAGTAAAATCACGCCAAGGGAGCCTCGGCTGTGATCTCTAGGACATTCACTAAAGATCAATTAGGGATCGTACTGATCCAGGAACCGTGGGTCTATGGAAACCAGGTAAGAGGACTTGCATGTAAAGATGCAAGGGTAATTTATCACACTAGTGATGAAGTACCCAGAACATGCATAATGGTAAGGAGTAATATTAAATATTCTTGTCTTTCAGAATTCATGACGCGTGATCTCGTTCCAATTCGAGCATACCTGGAATTAGGGATGAGGCGGCAAGACATAGTAATAGCTTCTAGTTACTTCGCCGGAGATGGGCATGTACCACCCCCGGAAGTATCGAGGCTAGTCGAGTACTGCCAGAGAAGACATCTGCCATTACTTCTTGGATGCGACGCCAACGCGCACAGCACTGTATGGGGAAGCAACGACACCAATCAAAGAGGTGAGCAACTTTTAGAATATATTTTTAATAAGAACCTTATTGTGCAAAATATTGGGAATACTCCAACATTTGTAATAAGGGCAAGAAGTGAGGTATTAGACATCACATTAAGCACACCGAGCATTAAAGATCTAGTTAAAAACTGGAGGGTATCGAGTGAACCATCTCTATCTGATCACAAGATAATTGTGTTTACGTTAGAGAGCGACATTCCTGAGACGATCTTCAGGAGGAATCTTAGAAAAACAGACTGGGACAAATACAACACCATTCTAAAACAAAATTTAGCACGTATCCAGACAAAAAAGAAGCCGGGGCACCCATTTGCTCTGGAAAGCGATCTCGAAGAACTAAATGGGGCAATACTTGAGGCATATGAATCAAGCTGTCCCATTCAAAGAAATAGAACTAGTAGGGATGCTCCTTGGTGGAACCGTCATCTGTCAAACTTACGATCCGAAGTGCGGAAGCTCTATAATAGGGCCAAGGACAGCGGAGATTGGCAGAGCTACACCGAGACGCTTACTACCTACAACAAAGAAATCAGGAAAGCTAAACGTAACAGCTTTAGAAAATTCTGCGAGGATATTAACTCTACACCTGCGGCAGCGAGACTGCACAGAGTCCTGGCAAAAGGAAGAGTTGATACAGTTATGGCATTAAATAAACCAAATGGAAGCTTCACGGAGAGTGAGGAGGAAAGAGCTCGCCTCCTACTTGAAACTCACTTTCCTGGAAGCACTCCTTTTCTAATAAGGGACACAACTAAGGTAAGCAGACCACCAAGAGAGGCCGCTGTAGTGGCCAAGCACATATGCAGCAGAAATCGGTTAAGGTGGACCGTAAACACTTTTGAACCGCTTAAGTATCCAGGTGTGGATGGAATATTTCTTGCCCTGCTTCAGCAGGCACAGGAGGAATTACTACCACATAATCCGGCTATCCCTGAGCAGTCTGGAGCTGGGATATATACCAGAAGCATGGAGAAGGGCCAGAGTCACCTTTATTCCAAAAGTAGGGAAAAAGGATACCACACATCCTAAATCTTTCCGTCCAATGAGCCTCACATCCTTTGTATTAAAAACAATGGAGAAGGCTG